ACTACAGACAACACACTGAAATTGTTAAAAAGCTTTATAAAAAAAGGAAAGTTTTAAGTTTGCTCTTAAAGGGAACCAGTACACTCTAAAAATGAAATGTTGGATTTACTTAACCATGTTATGTGACCTGGTTCCACTTAACTGAGTTGAGTAAATTCAAAGCAACATACTCATGTTCTTTGGCTAAAAAACTGGTATATTGCTTTGAATTTACTCAACTCAGTTAAGTGGAACCAGGTCACATAACATGGTTAAGTAAATCCAACATTTCATTTTTTACAGTGTAGGGTTAATGGGAGATGGTGATTATACGCCTGTTTAAAGAGAAGAGTTTTAATCTGTGATTTAAAAATGGAGACGGTAGAAGAGTTTTTGATTTCCGTTGGGAGAGAGTTCCAGAGGTAGGGTGCTGAGTAACTAAAAGCTCTTGAACCCATAGTGGTCAGATAAGCTGGCGGTTGAGTGAGTTGGATGGAGGAGGAGGACCTGAGTGTGTAGGAAGGTGTGTTAATGTGGAGAAGTTCTGTGAGATACTGAGGGGCAAGTTTATTGAGGGCTTTGAAGGTGAGGAGCAAGATTTTATAGGAAATACGAAATTTGATAGGGAGCCAGCGAAGATGCTTTAGGACAGGTGATATATGACTGGTGGAAGGGGTTCTGGAGATGATACGAGCAGCTGAGTTTTGGACCAGTTGTAGTTATTGGATGGATTTTGCTGGTAAAACGAAAAGTAGGGAGTTGCAATAAAAGTGTGAACTAGAATAGCGGTACTACCGGGTGAGAGGGATGGACGGAGACGAGCAATGTTACAGAGGTGAAAGTAGGCTGAACGAGTAATGTTGCTGATGTGAGATTTAAATGATAATGTGTTGTCTAGGATGACACCCAGACTCCTAACCTGAGGGACGGGGGATGTTGAGATGCTGTCAATGAGAATAGAGAAGTTGTTGGTTTTTGCAAGAGTGGATTTAGTTCCATTAAGAAGAAATTCTGTTTTGTCACTGTTTAGTTTAAGAAAGTTGCATGTGAACCAGGACCTGATATCAAATAAGCAGTCAGACAGTGAGGTGGGTGGGAGGGTGGCGTTGGGTTTGGTGGGCAGATAGAGCTGGGTGTCATCCGCATAACAGTGGAATTGGATATTATGTTTACGTAAAATATTTCCAAGCTGAGTCCAGCTTATATTCCTAGCATTTCCTTACAAACCTTACTGAGACATAAAATAAATTTGAAGCTGCTTTTTTCAAAAATATCTGTGTAATTTACAGACAAATCATACATCTTGACATGCATGGGATAAAATCTGACAGTCTTCCTCTAACAGTGAACAATTTTTCAATTTCATGTTTTACCAGCTGAAGAACGTTTGATTAAAATGTTACGTTAAACACATATTAGAAGAGGAACAAAATGTCACATAAATAAAAAACAATGTTTGTAGATAACTGATATCCTTTTTTTAAACAAGAAGTTTGATTAAATATTTCATCCATTATCTTTACCGGTTTCTTCCTTTTTGGGTTGTGGGGGTCACAGGTGCTCAGGTCCAGCAGTCTCTGTGAGGACAGGTGTTCAGTCCATCACAGGAACACCTGTAGAGACAAACAACCACTCACTTTCTCACTCACACCTAAGAACAATTTAGAGTTGTTAATTAACCTAACAGTCATGTTTTTAGTCTGTGGGAGGAAACAGGAGTACCCGGAGAAAACATGAACACTACCCAGAAATGTCCCCGGGCTGGGATTTGATCCAGCAACCTCACTGCTGAACTGAGCCACCGTAATAAAAATTAATACAACTTTTTAATATTTTGTTTTTTCTTTTGCTCATGAATTCTAAGGTTTGACGTCCTGACCCAGATTTTTTGGCTACAGATACAATCCGATTTTTTAAATGATTGSTCTTTCCGATATCGATCCGATACCRATCCGATCGCTTTAATTCTTTATTTCTTTCCAAGTGACAAGGTTGGTAGTATTAAAGCGAGCCCTACTGTTCCCACCAGGAGAAACATCCATTTTTCAGATTTTGCAAGATGCAGTTTCAGCATCATTGTTTTCCATTGAAAAGTGTTCCCACACTGTGGACATGGTTGCATACTTGTGTGTGTCTTGACTTCTTAACGGCAGTTGTAAAGCATGATGATGMTGAAAACTGTCACCAAAACTGGATCGGCCCGATCACATGACTAAATCTGATTCTGCCCGATTTTCAAAAAATGGCCATATCTGCCACCGATACCGAAACTGAGTATCTGATTGGGACATCCCTACCACTTTCTAATGAATGAATGAATGAAACTTTATTGATCCCTTGAAGGGAAATTACAGTTCTAAAAATAAATAAGAAAGAGGGTTTTACACACACGTTATTTTTTTTTGTCAAAAGTGATTGTGAACAAACACACATAGAAGATAGAGCCATCATTTAATGCTGGATATCCTTTCTGATGCAACTTGGGCTCAAACCTGATGCTCTAACGTGGCCCAGGAGGTTTTACACATATACAGTAACATGCCTAAATTGTAATAACAGTGCATAAATGGTCATTTTAATGACTTCTAAAGGAGAAAAGGTATTTTGCTGGAAGCAGGAAGCCAGCCACCTCGTGCTTAGTAATGGTGTTAAAGAAGAAAAGTGTCCTCGTTTGGGTGAGCCGGTCAGGGATCATGACTTACTTAAACACCAACCATCTGTCTSGTCTTTATTTCCTGCCTGAACTGAGTCACTCTTTGTTACTTGGTAGTTTAATAGAAATAAAGTCCAAATTTCTACCAAATAAAAACAACCATGTTATACAGTAAGTGTCTGTACTTAGACTGAAGCAGTGCATACAGAACGCAGAACATGAAGAACGCACACACACCGACACACTGTCTCTCTATCCTTGTGGGGACTTTCCATTGACTTCCATTCTTTTCTTTTTTTTTTTGAAATTTTATATTCTAACCCTGACCATTTACCCTAAAATTAACCTTTATGAGGAGCATTCGGTCCCCACAAGGCTGCATTTTCCTGATAAACCGTCCCTACCAAGTAGCCCCCCCC